CATAAATATAGGTACATGTTAATAGTCTTATTTTAAAAGTACGATTACATTCTTATGCACAAAAGTGCAACAAGTTTTATAATCTTTAATCTATGGCAACACGAAATCACAGATTTTCTTATATCTCCAAGGCTTAATTTTTTGTTTAGTGTTATGTGTGACTAAAATAGTAATGATTGAATTGTTTGGAGTTTTGGTTTGGATATGGTTCCAAAGAAACCCATGGTATTTATACAAACTGACCTAGCCTGGAAATCTCATAAACCCATCTGCCTTATAAGATTTCCAGCATCTAATTGTTTGTGCCCAAATATTTGACTCTGCAAGCATTTTCTGGCAATGAGGCTGAAAAGAGATTTGGTTAACAATTGGAAAAATAACACTGTAATTCTTGGCAAGACAGTGTCATTCATATTGTTATATGAAAACTTACTGTTTTGCCTGTCCATCCTGGAATTTTGCTTCTCTTAGCAGCGGGCAAGATTTCCTTAATTTCAAAAGCAAAAACCCTGTGGGCTGCTGCTTTAAAATGGTCAGCATAATTGGATTTCTTGTGCGATTAAAAGGCTACCTCTAAGCTGAGAACAAATATATTTCACTGCTTTGCACTGTGGAGTAAATAAAAAACAAAACCAAACAAAAACCCTGTGTAAACTGAACATACAAAAGTTCTAACCTTTCTATTAGGCTGATAGTATTTTACATAGACTTTGCAGATTTAGTAAACACGACAGTGGTTGGCCTATGGAGTAATACCATACTCTTGTGGCTTCCTTTAAATGAAGGAATTCTTCTGCAATTATTTCACATTTTGTGTGCACCATAGGTGGAGGCAAGTGATGTCAGAATATTGTAAAAGAATACTTAAAGCTTGTCAGTGTAGAGAGAATTTCAAGGATGGAAACATTAAACTTATCATGGTGTTGTACAAACACATATGGAGCGAGCCTGTCTTGGGGAATGTAAGCTCTCTATTTCTTTCCTGTGGTTATGTTTTTATGGTTGGCTTTATTACAGCAATTAACTCTGAGTAGCATAGGAGCCCTCACCTGCTCATTATACCCCCTGTTTAAACTGTTGGAGTTCATTATCCTTTCAGCTGTCTAGTAAAAAGGGAGGAGGTAAAAATTTCTCTACAATCCCTGTGGTAGTTTGATTGGAGGTAAGCTCTCTATTTCTTTCCTGTGGTTATGTTTTTATGGTTGGCTTTATTACAGCAATTAACTCTGAGTAGCATAGGAGCCCTCACCTGCTCATTATACCCCCTGTTTAAACTGTTGGAGTTCATTATCCTTTCAGCTGTCTAGTAAAAAGGGAGGAGGTAAAAATTTCTCTACAATCCCTGTGGTAGTTTGATTGGAGGTATCTTCTAACAAGTGAAACATGGCCTCTTAGGGAGAGTGGGATTAATTTTTATAGAGCTTAGCAAAAGAGCTCTAACATTTTATAGAGTGCTAGCTGGAAAAGTACTGAAGTGAACCCTGAAATCTTTTGATTAATATTTGTTGTAAATAGGAATACAAGTGCTATTCAATAAACATTGCTCTGATAAAATGTACCCATTTTCATATTGCCCACTAAAAAAAATTATCAAAATTACAAGCAATTAAATACTGACAGGTCTTTGCGCATGCTGAGAATCAAGATTAAAATAAATTCTCACCCAGTGCAACTGGGTGTGCCACCTCCTTGCTGAAATATCAGACTAGCAGTCACAACACCTGTCAATAGCGTTCCCGGGACTGCTCCAAATGCACTTTACTTGAACAGTGTGTTAGTTTCATAATAGCTATTTGATCCATGCAGTATGTGAGCAGTTTTTCATATTCTTCCCTCAGAGAGAGCATGGGAAGTGTTTTACCTGAGACACAGTGTAGCGTACCTTTCCCCTCTATGTGAGTGTGGCTGTACTCCGTTTCAGCCCGCCTTTGGTCATTTTTGGGGAGCATCTGTGGAGAGATTTCTTTAAATGTTTGTGATCCACGAGAAGGAGTTTTGCAGCTTCTGATACACATCGCAGGCCAGCCGCGCACATTTTGTACATCTATGTCAGTGCCACAAGGGGATTGATAGATGTGAGTGGTGACTGGATTTTATTGCTTTCTCATGTCTTCAATTATATGTGTTGATTGTTTGATAGTGTATTTTTTCTGAAAGGAAGGGTTGGAAAAAGGAGAAATTAAAATTACAACAAAATTTAATCGGTAGAATGTTCTCAGGCACTGAAATTGCACTGTATTTGGCAGCTTCTTTGTCTGGTTTAACAATGAATTGTTTTTCTTTAATGACAAGATTTGGCATTTCTGAATTCATACCCTATAAACAAATGATTGCATTGCCCCAAAAGCGCATGTTGTTTACAATTTGGATGTTCTTAATACTCAAATGACTGTGACTTGCAAATTGCTAAATGGAATTTCATTTTGGTTGCTTTTTATTGAAATGGTTGAGGAAATTCTGTCATCGCAGTCAGTGTTTTTAATACTCGTTGTGGCAAGTTTCCACTGAAATAATTGCACCCTTGGTGAAGTTTTTACAGGCTTGGAAATCTTGCAGTTGAGAGCACGTTTCTTCTCTATGTTCTTATTTCTAATGGCACAGTTTGGTGCAACTATGAAAATCTTCTTGTCTTGAATCTTAGTGAAAGATGGTTTTTGACACGCAAGTGCTCTCAGTATTTTAATTTATGTTATGCAGAAGGAATTTGCAGGTGTGGAAAAAGAGTTCAAAAATATGACATTTTCTACAGCAGAAGCAAGTGGGAGCAGCCACTTAAAAACCTGTTCATTATGAACAAGTTTTTGATGGGGTTTTTCCTTCTCATTTCTGATGCAGCTGTTTGTTTAGACTGTTAAATAACTGAAATGGACCAGTATACTTTTTTTTTTTGATCACATGCAATCACTTTATTTCTGCCCCATTCAATTAAAACAGGTAAGGATGAAGATAAAAACAAATGAAGTTTGCTCTTTCAGGCAAGCTGGGAAGAAGGTGACTTCTTCTCCTTGTGATTCACATTTTGATCATAGATCTGTCTATACCCATTTTAAGTCCTTTACCAAAAGAATGTATGGGGTTGAGCAAGATGCATTTATGTTGCAGATGGGATTTGCTTATTATGGTTATGTCCTTTGCAAGACAGTGACAGATTTCAAGCTAGCTTTTCTTCTCTGTTAATATCTGTGTGACTATGTATGAAAGGCTTAAAAGGAAAAAGAGGACATTTTCCTCATTTTAACATTGCCAATAGTTTCTTCCTAAAAACATTCTTTGTCAGTCCAGCTGATAGTTGGATCTTACATTCCCTGACATAGGTAATTTGAGAAGATGACAGAAGTAAAGATGCAGGTTATAACTTGGTACTCCAGGAATCAATAAGAAGAGAGAGGATATTCACTACTTCCCATATTTCTTTCCTTTTCAAGGTTTGGGTTAGACTATGGCTTGTTTTGAACTCAGAGTAGTACAGCTAATGTAGAGAGTTATGTGAGCCAACATAAATCTTAATGTTACAACCTGCTGGAATACCTGAATGAGCTGCATTGTAGCAACTGAAACAGGTGAACCTATAGTTTTGGTGCCAAGAAAACAAAACTGACAGCTATGAGATAAAATGTGTAAATGAAATGAATCTTTGTGTATGAAAATATTTTCCACAATTGGCACTTGTCTTAGGTTGTGTTTTAATAATGAAGTAGAAATTTCCCTGTGCTCAGCAGTCATCTTTCATACACACTCTGCTCTGGAAGTGCTCTACTGTAGCTTTGGCAAGAGCAACTCTGTGCATTGACAGTATTCTATGTGATCCATTAAGCCCTTTTAATCTGGACCTCACAACTTGATACCTTTTCAGTTGTTTCAGAAATGTCTTTTGGTTTTTTTCTTAAAGTTCCTTCCTTTCTCTCCATATATTTTCCTATCTAATACATGGATTAAATCTCATGCCCCAAATTTCTTTTTCCTTTTGCTTCTGAATGATACTTGGCCACATACCTGGAGTTTTAGAGTTGTGTCTCTTGTGTGTGGAAAAGCCGAATTGGATGGAATTAATCCCTTTTCCGCTGATATAGAAGTAAGATGAATATGGACAGTGGATGAGCTTATTTATGTTATGTGTAACAATTTTCAGTAATATTTGGATTAAAAAGTTACCAAATCTCTCTGAGATTTGTTTTTGCGAAACCAGACCCCCCACCCCATTCTGGCAGTGATACAGTATGTGAATTGAAAATGAGACTGTAGCAGGCAGTGGAGTTCCTGTGCCGTAACTCTCACCATTTGCGTTGTGTTGTTTCATACTGATGAGCGTTGCAGTCATATTTTTTCAGGGTGGTGCTGCTTGGTTGAATTGGGCAATTTCTGTAGAACTGTTTTTTAATTTCCTAATGTGTTAGCATTCATCACACTATTGATTTAAACTGCTGAAAGTAATGTCTTGGTTTGCTTTCCTGTCAGAAGTGTGGGCAAAGCATAAGGGGACCACTGAATGAGGAATGTATTACATAAATGTCAAGTATTACTGGTTTTCCCTTGAGGGTATTTTTGGACAAATTCTGAGGGGAACACCTTTCCCTGGACAGATACAGAAGATTTTGAGAAATTAGTTGAGGCTTCCTGACTAATAGACTCATGATTCAATTGACTAATTCTGGCAGATGCCAGAATCGGAGAAACTGCTTGCAAAACAAGCTTGCAGTTTGTGGTCAGAACCACACATGCATGGTTGGTTGTGAATAAAGAGACAGTTTTTTGCGCTTTATATAATACTCCTCATGTTGGGGCTATACGATGCGGAACATGTATGTATCTGGGAGATGTCTGGGCTAGCACTACTTTTGCAGGGAAGACAGGGTGGCTTTTCTGACACTTGATAAACATAAGGGGCCTGAACGAACAAGTACAGTAGCGGGTAGAAATCATTTTAGCAATTCCTAATGAAAAAGGTTGCAGTGAGGTTCTTTGTGAAGAATTTTTTGTTGTTTTGTTTGTTTGTTGAGCAGGTTCTATACAGTTCGCTACAGAGAAAAGGATAAAGACAAGAAATGGGTTTTTCAGCTTTGCCCAGTTACAGAGACAGTGGTGGACAATCTGAAGCCAAACACAATTTATGAGTTTGGAGTTAAAGACAACGTAGAGGATAGTATTTGGAGCAAGACTTTCAATCATAAGACGGTTCTGTCCAGTAAGTATTTGGCAAGAATTAACCAAATAGCTACTCAGTTTCACAGTATTTTTTCCTCTATTGTGGCATTATTTAAAGTAAGATATCGATCAGGCTTTCATTGTTCAAATGCTATCCCTTATGGCCCTAACAAATTCTTTTAGGAACTGGTGAAAGTAGAAATAGTCTGTGTCTGAAAAACTGCCACCTACTCTTCTAAAAGGTGTTCTGTTCTCATTGCAATAGCAGAGGATCTGCAGCAGGCTGTAGAACTCTAACAGTGGTTAGTTTAGACACACATGAAATGTTGTGTATAGGCCAAGGAACTATATATACATTGTGTTTGAAGCACACGCTCTCATGTATGTTTTTGCTTGGGTTTTCATGTGGGCAGTGTATGACACCTCTGCCTGTTCTCTCTGTCATTTTTTAAGCTTTTTCTCCAAAGTCCCAAGCCAATGCTGGCAAAGTGGCATCAAATAACCCTTGATAAAACATGTAATGCTCAAAGAACCACTGCTGTCAGTGGAGGAAATAGGCAGCAGTAGAGTCTTGCTCCTTTTAAAGAGAAGAAGAGCTGACTTAAGACACTGTCCAATTGCATTTCCTCAAGCATTTACATAAAGTTATTTCTGAGCATGATGTTGGTCAGAAGATGCTGCAAACTCCTATGCTCAGTATTTCTAACTTGACTTGTGAAGAATGGGAATTCTCATAAGAAAATCTTATCCATTTGAGATTTCCAGCTGAAAATTGATTTTGACCTCATTTTTAACTTGTTGGTGAGTTACACAGCTCACCATACTTATCGTTAAGGGAGGAGCGCAGTAGGGTGGCTTGTAACACTACTAAAGCCCCTGTGCTGCCTAACAAAGAACTTTGCTGGCCTTCATCCTAAATTAGAAAGCTGTGACTTTGAAGTTCCTGCCCAGTGTCCATAGAGTCTTTTTGTGCCGTGAGCTTAAACTGGAGAATGGTGATAGTCTTTTCCCACACCTGCCTCACAAAAAGAAACTCTGCTTCACAGGTCTACAGACAGCTTACTAAATGGCTGGTTTTCCTACATTTTAAAGGCTTCTGCAGAGGACGTGCTAGAATATATTTGAGCACTTAAAATAGGAAGGAATGAAAGAGTGCATAGTGTTAATAGTTTAATATAGTGATCGAGACTGATTGAAATGTCCACTGGCATCACCAAATTTGCTGTTTGTATATAATGTATTTTTAAATGATTTCTTACAGACAATATAAATTTCTAATAGGCTAAAAGAATCATTCTTGTAAATTACAGAGAAAGATGGAGTTGGGTTCAAGGATGCTTTCTTGTAAGAGTTTGTTTTCTACTTAGATGGGTTTTCTTTTTCCTAGAATGTAAACTCCCATATTCAGTGTGTGCTTCTGCAGCAACTAAGTCCAGGGAGCTTGTTATTACTCTCTATACATTCTGGTCTACTGATAAAGTATCTTGTAATCAAAATGTTGACAGCACCTTTGAGGTTCAAGACTTTCATATTGTCAGTGCATACTAGATACAGAAACAGAGTGGGCAGTAAACAGAGAGTGAACATTTATTATAAATTTGTAACCACCTGTCTTCATAAGAGTTTACCAATCAGCACAAATGGCCACTTTGTTTCCTGTTTTAATTTACTGTCTTGTAGTAACTCCAGCTGTTTTAATAGATTAAGAAGGATCTCAATCTAGACCAAACATCCTTCACTGTAAATTTTTCCTCACTAAAGAATATATATGACTATAAACTGAAATTCCTGTTGCATGTTCTTGAATTTGTTGAATTCATTGGCCAAATTTTTGTTATATAATAAACATGTTGGGAGGGGTGGGAATATGGTTTTAATTCATGATTTGAAGAAGACATAAAAGGCATGGCAAATGTTCAATGTTTATTTATCCAAATATTTGAAAGTAGATTATTTCTGATCATCTTAACATGATTTTCTCATTAAGTCAGCTTGAAACATTTGCCAGTTTTCCCTTGTCTTTAGGCAAATAGTAGGTCCTGTTCCTGAGAAGAATCAAGCTCTTTGAAAGACTTTTTTCAGGATAGCATGTCAACTTAAATGTCTCTCAATTGATACATTTAATCAAATGAATTGATTCATATAAAATTGAATTTTATAGTTGAATTTTTTCTATTGCTTCTCTGATTGGGATGGAATTTTGAAGAATTATAATAACATTTAACTTGATTCTTGTTTACATATCTGTCAACACAAGGGGAGCAGATGTGTAAAGAGGAAAGATGTAGACAAAGTTTGGAGCATCCTGGTAGAATATAAGAGGTGTTTCTCCTCTGCACTTAACAGCTATATCACAAGAAGCTTCTAATACTGAAAGGCTAAGAGGGAAAACCTAAGAGAAAAATTTCAGAGATTAAATCCATGTATTTCTTTTAGAAGGTGCACTTAAAAGCAAGACTAACTATTGGAGACCTTTAATCATGTTGCTTTTAGCTAGTCCTAGTGCCATCCTGACAGATGGGATGCAAAAATTCCTCTTACAAGTTTCTTCCTTGCGTATTAGTGCTGTGGTTACATTAATTTTATTGAAGAATCCTGTTAGGTACATATGACTTCTCCTTATTAAGTCCCAAAGACCACTTCAGCTCTCTTACTCCTTGTTGCAGAAAAATAAGAATACATTTCATTTCCTCTCTGTCAAAATATAAAGAGGAGACTTTGCAGATGAATTAACAAATCTGGAGAAACATGACCAAACAAAACCAGTTTGGTAACTTATAACTACTTTTCCTAACTTTCTTAGCTGTTGAAAAAGTTGAATAAAATTGATTTGCTTTGCTTAAGACAAACTAGAAAGTAATTATATGTATTTATTTCTCTTTCTGTCAAATCAGATAAAAAAGTAAATGGACAACTCCAGAATATGTACAAGTTGGTACCTAATTCCCAAACACAGGTATGCAAAACAGTCTTATTTTTTATACCAGATTTATATTTTGTATGATCTGATTTTTGCTTCTCTGTTAAAGTAAGAAAGAGATTATGGCCACAAATTGCTATTTTAACAAAGATGATGCGTGGATTCTAAACATTAACATTTGCATAGCCCTTTGTAGTAGTCTGGTTTGTTAGTCTGTGATGTTTGTGGTGGTTTGTTCATTTTGCAATAAGGTAGTGCTGTTATTTTCTAGGGCAATCTTGTGTATATGAAGGTCTTCTAAAATCATTAGTCATTCAATTGAATTCACTGAGAGCTGTCATAAGTGAGGCAAGTGTTTGCAGAACCAGGGGAAGCTGAAAGGGGCAATTAAATTTGTTTATCAAGATTGCCAGGCCGTTCATTAAATCTTTGCACGTGGCCAGGTAGAATTTTTAACTGTTTCATCAAAGCATTTGAAGATTTTTGTAAATAAATAAATATAAATATTTATTTGTTTCCCCCTCCTCCCCTTTATTTTTCCTCATCTGACATTTGCATTAACGGTTGTCAAGCAAGCTTGGTTGGGTTTAGATGGTTGTGGATTCACATACACAGATATTTTTTGCTTCCTAGAGCTACAGCAGAAATTAGGGGTCTGTAGATTGAACCTGTTAGTAGACTAGCTTAAATACAGTAAAAAATAGACCTTATATTCATTACTTCTGAGCATTACCTACTCTGCTATGGTATGAAATTGGTCTCTTCATATTTCCTTTACTCAATTTTTCATCAAATGCAAGTTTCAGCACCTGTTCATCTGGGATTGTTTGCTTTGTTTTTAAGGTACTATCCATGAGGTAGACTATGAGATAACTACCAAGGAAAGTTGTAGAAATCCTTGTAACGTCATACATTTTAAAGAGTTGACTCATGAGTGATGATTCTTATAATTCTTATATGTTCTTCACAGTCCTCTTCTATCTCTGTTTTTCCAAGTGTTTTTTATGATATGAAATCGCATGTATGGTTTCTGATTGTTCATTCTTTGTATTTACAATATTGTAAGTGGTCTGTAATTAACTGACCTGGAATTCCTTCAGGAATCAAACCACAGTCCATTACATGCAGTTTCTTATAGGAATAATTAGGTATTCATTTAGGACAGTGATACTTTAATTATAGCACTCCAGAAAGAGTTAAGAGCAGTATAATGCTTAGTTTATTGGAAACATAGTCATGTCTCAAACTCAAGAGAAAACGTTTTATCTGTGAGTAGTATGAAGCCAGTTGATTCGATATTCAGGAAGGTGCTCCTCTTGTTATGTTGTGGATGAAATCAAGTTTACTGTTCCTCCCATTGGTCCCATAAGGATTTGTGAAGTTACACATGACAGCCCAAGAACAGGTAACTCATCCTGGCACCTGGAGTGCAATCTGAGTTCCTTTCTTTCTCCTAGCAACCCTTGTGCCAGGACCCCGACTCTGTTATGCCTCTTCTGTGGAAGTAGGGCTTCTATTTATGCAAGAGGAGTCCTGAGAAAGTGAGCTAAAACAGTTTTCCAAATATTTGCACAGCTTAAGCATGAAAGGAGGACTGTAGCCAACATCTAGTCTTCTTAGTCAACTTCACAGGGCTTTGCTCCAAAGCCGTATTGCTTTATCACCCTCCACAGAAATATCATGAAAACATTCCAGGGATTATTCTAAAAATTCTTTTATCAGTCTCACTTTAGTGGTGCAAAAAGCCATAAAGCTAAGGCTAGGAAGCAGATAGTGGCCAGCTCTTAAGTTTAAGCTATTACTTCAGGTCCTACAGTATTAGGTGGGTTATTTTTCAGTGTTACCATTGCACCATCAGTGCAAGCCAGAGTGAGGGTTACTTAGGCCAAGATTTGTTTGTGCCTTATTTTGCTCCAAAGACGCAACTGGCTCACAGCAGCATTGTTCTAACTCTTCTCTGTAAGGAGACATATTTAAAGGCTGTTTATTAAAGCAACATTACCGATCCATCTAGTCATTCTACCCTTTCAACACCAGTCACATACCAGCTTGTGTTTTTTCTGGCAGGTTCATCCCTTAAGTTTGACTAAGCTCCTGGAGCTGTGTGAGCTACAACTCATAAGAGAGAGGAAGAAAAGGAGAGTTTTAGGGATGGTCATTCTTTTTCCCATCATAAACAATGGGTGGTGGTAGGGTGGAGAGAATGCAGTAGAAATTTATTTCCTCTTCTGTCTCATTAGGGTCTTGTAATTACATAATATCAGCCTGAAAGACAGGGTCCTCCTTGATATTTTTTCCAGTCAAAAAGCAGGAGTGTCAGCTTCTACCATTTTTTAAACCCCAGAAGAAAACATGCCTGCTCTTTCAAAACCTACACAATGCAGTTTGACCATAATGCTTCATTAAGGAATCTCTTACATGTATGCCAGTTATTTGTGGCTTTTTGGAGTACAAAAGAAGCAGAAGGAATAAGTATCTCTTGTAACACTGCCATATGCCATTTGACAGAAGTCTGAAAACTGTGGTCCTTTATCCAATGTGCCATAGGTGTATGGTCAGAAGTTAAAAGGCCTGATTTATGATATAAATTACATTTCTAATTTTCATCTGATACAAAGAAATACCTTATTTGCCATCTTCCTTCATTCATGGAGATGCCACAGTCATTTTAATAACTAATGTTCCTAATACCTATATGCTTCATATTCTCTGGAATATACAGTTACTAGCACCATTCCTACAGATGATATGCTGATGTTTCTGAAATAGTTTGTCTAAGTAGTAAATTATATTAGACATCAAAATCTGTACAGTAGTCACTTTCTGGAGACTGGAAAAGAGAGAGTTGACAACATGGTGATAGATTTCAAGTGCAACACTTGCAAATTTATGCAGGTGAGCAGTGTAATTACAGCAGCTGCAGAACACAGATTTCATGTCAATGATTTCTTCTTGAGTGAAAAACTAAATTTTGAATGTATGCTCATGTATTTAGCATTTTTCTATTACTGCCATTACAGTCATCCATTATTAATCAATAACAAAAGGATGATTTTGTCAATAGAAAAATGTTTTACTCGTAAAAGGACTGATAATAATTACGATTAGAAGTCCTCCACTGGAACTACCCAAGTGCTGACTATAGCTTGAGAGGTGTTTATTTAATTGTAGGCCTCTTGATGAGAAATACAATAAAAAAACCACCACCCTCTGATAAATGCATCTGTGACTTGTTAGTCACACGAATAGCAGGGATAATTCAAAAGCCAATCATCTGCCACACATTTCTTTTTATTAGAAGGCAAAATAAAAAGATAAATCTTGTAAATAATAGAGGCAAGATAGTAAGCAATTAAAAAAGGAGTATTATTTTGTATCCTTCATTAATGACAATCATTCAAACTCCCACTCAACTTAAAATCATGTTCATGCCAATGCAAAACTATTATTAGATAGCAGAAAGTAATGGCTTTCATAGGATAAGCAACCTCCATCCATTTCCCTGAGGAAAGGGCTATCTTACTTGTTGAGATTTGCCTTCCAGCTTCTTAGACTTTGGTATGTGTTTGATGTGTATGCAAATATTGCTTTTAAGCCTTTTTTTTTCTTTTAATTTTTAGAATAGAGCAGAAATCATTATCCTTAGGTAAATCATTAGATTTTTCTCATCAAATGCTGTATTTTCATGTAAATGCTCTTTCACATGAAGTAGACCAGATGTCATGAAGTGCAAAACGAACATTAACTGATTCTGACTTTAGTGGTGTACATTTAACACAGAGAGTTAATTGTTTTTGTCATGTTCTTTCTTGTAACTCAGTTATAACTGAAAAAATCCACTTCTAATGTATTTAGCATTTTTATATTGCTGACATTAGAATTTTTATCCCTTCATCACCTGAGTATCTTATTAACCTTTCAGAAATTGTTTCTAGTACCTATGCATCGTAGTGAATAGTGATTTATAATCTCTGGGATCAGTTATTTTCTTCCTTTTAATAAATGTATGGTCCATTCATGTGTTCCTTATTTTCCGGGTATCAAAATGCTGGAAAAGGTTCACACTTAGGCAACAAGTAATCTGTGTCAAATACAAGTGAACAGCAGGAAACTCCAAGTATTTAACATAAAAATGTGAAGAACATGGGTGGCTGGCCAATTATAGTTTGGGAACAATTTCACCAAATAAAATGACTCTTGAGTTAATCTACTTGAAGCAGACTATGTACACAAGACTGCTGATAGTTTACAGATGTACACCTGGTTCTGGAATAATTTGTGTGCTAAATTTACTATTCCTGAGAATATAATTATATGCAATTACAAATCTGGTCACAGGATCGGTTTCAGATGTTTTGCTGTAGTTAAATTTCAGCTTTCCTTAGCTTTGCGCACTACTCCCCAGTGAGTGCTCAAGAGATTCTTGAAAGAAAAGAAGATTCCTAGGCTGTCAAATACTGTGTTTTTATGAAGCAAAACATCTCAAGTTTAAAAAAGGAGATCAAAATGTAATATTACTATACTAGCCCATGGGAACTGAAGCAATAGTGTAACCTTCAGTGACTAGGGCCAGAGCCATATCCAGTGTAAACTTGGGACAGGCGCGGTATTGGATTAGAGCCCTCTATTTTTGTTACTAAGTTGAATTACTACTATGGCAATTATCCCAAGCTTTGGTCTGTTTCTCTTCTCTCAGCTTACACTGCGTGATAATAAGAAGTTGGTCCCTGTCACAATAATCAAACAAGGTAAATTTGTATATCTTTTTGATTCTTATGCTCTACAACAGTAACTCAAAATAAAATTTTAAAAGAATTCTGACTGATGTGAATGTCATGAAAGTTTCCTTTTAGAATAGGTGAAATCTTACAAACTATCATATCCTTTGATGAGAAATGCTGTTAAGTAGTTACCCATCTGCATTAATAAAATGAGCTATTACATTGCATTACAAACAATGCCTTAGTTGAGTCACTGAATGGATACCAACCGGTGCTGATTTTTGCTAGTATCCATTCTTTTCCTCTTTCAACTGG